AGGTAGGTAGGTAGGTAGGTAGGTAGGTAGGTAGGTAGGTAGGTAGGTAGGTAGGTAGGTAGGTATGTAGATAGGTAGGTAGGTAGTTAGATAGATAGATAAATAGATAAATAGGTAAGTAGGTAGATAGATAAACCGATGCTGGAACCCATCATAGATACTCTCCTTGTCACTCCGGCCAAGTTGGGAAAACGAGGTCAAGCCAACACAATAAGTTAATAATTATTAAATATGTATATTACAAACAGATACTGCAGTCTTGACCGAATGCGAACCCACTTATGAGACATGTGATGCCATAGACTGAGTCATTCGCGTCAATTGTCGTTAGGCCTAGATTATAAAACATTCCTGTCTTATAGTCTACGTTTTGTAATCATTTTAACGTCTTATTGCTATTCAATGGTGTTCTGACTTTCACAATAAGGCAAGGGTCGTTTTCTAAAGGAACCAAAGCTGTTGAGATCTGACTGCTAGACGTAGGGTAAGGAAAGCCTCAGCCGAGACCGGAATATGGAGCAGAAGACTTAATAAAATAGCGACCGTAGAGGATAAGTCTTATAGGGAAATAATAAATACCGAATAAATGAGGCAAATAAAATATGAAATAAATAAATAATCATGTACATATATATCTATAAAAATATAGTGGATAAATAAACAATAAAGTAATATAGAATAAGTAAAGAATAAATAAATACTGCAGTCTTGCCCGAATACGAGCTCATTTGTGAGAGATGATACCATCACAGAGTTCTCCGCATCGATGTCCGTTGACTGTACAGTCCAACCTTATCTTCCTCCGAGGTCATTCTGTCAGAGGCAGACTTTTCCCAAGGGTCAATGAGCCTGGACTGCCGGGACTGCGAAAACCAACCTTGCCTGCAAACCCAATTAGATTATATTTATCATTTCGCCTCCTGCAAGAGTTAATTGTGGGCAAAATATTCTAATAAAATCTGTCTGAAAAAGTGTAAATTTAAACCATATTATGAAGAAAAGATTGGTCTAGAAGAATCGCTTAGTGATCTAGTGTGACGCAGCTATCATTTCGAGCGAAAAGCTGGTTGCAAGTAATTTATAAATTAGTCTTACCGGAAACTCAAAAAGAAATGGCTGCTGTGGATTGAAGACTATTGGATTGTGCGAATAAATCCCTGGCTCATCTTCCTGCCACCCCAATAAACCCATGCTCAACTTTCACATTTCATGTGACAAGCATCGTTCGCACAAGAAACCATACTTTACAAAATAGCGCACCAATATACTTAGTTCAATATATTAGTAAAGTATAATATGGCTTCTTGATGTGCTGATGCTTCTCAAGATGTGACAAACAAAAGCTTGGCACGGGTTCATCGGCGTCGCAGGTCAGTGAACCGAGGACTAATTGGCATAAGCCAACTGTCTTCTATCCACAACAATTAATCCTTCGGTTTCTGGTGCGATCAATTCACAAATTCCTTTACCAACTTTTCCTTCAAAATAAAGAGCGATTCCACAACACATTTTAGCTATTTGGCCGGATTTGTGCCTGTTTCGGCCATACCTTCGTGCTGTTTTTCTTGAATTTCTTGCTTTTTTGTATTAGAATTTCGATGTATCACTAGTTCGCTTATCTTTTAAGGGTGTCCTCTGATGGGACTCTTTAAATTGTGAGATTAATTTGGTTTTTTATAGCAATTCCCTGGCGATGCATTATGTACCGGCGCTCTGTAACCCTCTTTCCTACTGATTTCTTGTTGGACAAATCCATGGTCCTCTTTGAATTATGCCATTTGATCATCTGCAGTTAGGATGAGATCATTTTGGAGCGTAAATATCATTTGCTGTAGCCATACATCAAGCAGCAATATTCACCTAATGGTTGCCATGGTAATTTAAACCATATCGAAATACTAAAATTGCACCCATGCACGAAAGTCATACTGACGGTAAAATGTGATTTCCTCGGAAAGTTTAAGATTCATTTGTGGTTCTTAAATTGTTGATTCGGCAAATCGACAAGTACGTTGTGATATGAAGACACGAAAATGATAATCTGGAGGAAAACCTTGTTCGGTGTGCATTACAAGCCTGTAAGTAGTTTCATTTTTTATTTATTTTTCAAGACGTGCTCAAAATAAACGCCTAGACAATAGGAACTCGTCTGGATAGACAAATGAAGAGGTTATGGAAAATGTTAGTCAGGAGCACTTAAATATTAAAACTACCTGATTAATTGTATGCATCACAAGGCCAGGGGATGAAGGAAACAGCAATTTATGGAGAAGAGGGAAATCGGGCAATTCTTTCTCTGAGATGTAGAAATAGAGACGACAGTTCAGTCGTTCATGCCCTCCTTCCAGATTGTTGGGATCTAGTCTAGAAATTAGGTCCTAATTTGATTGCTCATGTGGAGTAGGTCAAGGAGTCCAAAGTAACTGAGCAGGACAAATAGAGCTTCGAGTAAGCTGTCGCGACTGCCGGTAAACCTACTCAAATGATAAATAAGTAATGTCGTCGATAGGACCAGTTCAGGGGATGTCGAAACTACAGTCCATTCCAGCCGGAATGGCAAGACTAAGTGAGATGCAATGGGAACGTGAGGTCTGTTCATGTGATTAAGTGAAAACTGAACTACCAATCCTGCATCACCTTAACCGAAATAGAGTGAGCGCATCTCAGACAGAGAAGGCCAGCAGGAATGGACATTTTGCAGGACACGGAGACTTGTCAGCCGACCCTCTGGAGAGGAGACACAAGAGCATCCATTTTTTCTCGGAGTTGACATGTTTCCCTCACATTTGAGCGTACCTCCGTCTAATTGTACCGGTAATTTTTGCCATCTTGAAGCCTTGGGAGGCACTAATCGCTCAAAGCGTGCACTTATTTTGAGGCATTATCCCATCGCCGACAGTGTTGAATGCCTGCGGCCGCCTCGAGGGAAGCGAGTATCCTCCATTCGAGTCTTTGCTCCCTTTTCTCCCCTCTTCAGCGGGCCACTCGAAACGACCACCTCGAAAAGACCACTCGGAGGCAGCCGATCGTGGTGACTTCGAGTCGGTCCGGCGACTGCCGGCCGCCCTTTGCGAGACGGTCTTCCGACTGAAGCCTGAGCCGTCGGGGGACGATGAGTCGCGTCCGGAGAGGGATCTGCCGGGCGACGGTGAACAGCGCGTCGGGCACAACGTCGGCGGCGGAAGTGGAGGCCGGAGTGTGGCCGAACTGCGTCGAGGGGAGCGCCAGGCGGGGGAAGGAGAGGAGTCCGTGGCTCCGAGTCCACTGGAGGTGGACAAGGAGGGTCGTGTTGAGTCGCGAAAACCGGTGCAAAATGGGCCGCCCGGCTTAGGGCCTGGATACAGACTGGGCGACGGGGACAGCGCAGCAGCGGAGGCCGAAGAGGCGTGGAGGCGGAGGAAGGAAGAGGTCAACGGACACGAAGATGGCCAAGAGGAGGGTGAAGTCGTGGAGGAGGAAGCCGAGGAGGAAGAGGAAGACGTAGATGAGGAGGAAGAGGAGGAGGAGGAGGAGGAAGAGGAAGAGATTGTAGACGACGACTCCGACTCGGAGTCCATCACTCCGGTCTACCATCCTCAGGAGGTTGAGATACGCACGCGTCTCTTCCGAAAGTCACAGCAGCAGCAGCAGCAGCAAGCCTCATCTCGACCGGACAGTTGCCAACTCCGACGCGGTCTCAACGTGAGAGTCAACGCCGACGAGGTAGTCTACTTGCTCACTTTTTCTCCGGAGGCCTCAAGCAATCCCACAACGGCAAGTGGCTGTTGGTAGTGGCCACTTTAGCGTTGGAACACAAAGTCCCAAACACAATTTTATGCTGGTTGCTATGGCTCTCGTAGCCTCAACTGTATAGCTCGTTGCTAGGGCAAATGCTTATTTTAATGCTCTCCAATAGCCTTGCTTCTTCTAGTCTTGGCCGCTGGCAATGGCGGGCTTATTGAAGCCTGGTTACTTTTGATATGCTTTAGTTTCTGATGGTATTTTACAGACTCAGGATGAGTTTGCTCATGTGAAAAAGAAGTGTGATTCTAAGATTTCCTTGGTGATTTGAAAGGAAAAGTGGGTCGAAAGGAATTGATGAAAGGGTCTCGCCGGAACCCGAAGGAGCATGCCGCGGGGTGAAGATGGTTGTATTGGGCCAAGAGGTTCTGCACAATCCAACGGTCTTCATTTGGCTTCCGGTGAGGCCAACTTTGCCTGCGAGACGGAAAGTCATGTCACAATGAGTCTGAGGAATTGAGCGCAAGGCCTGTGTTTACAAGGAGCCCTCGTTTCATCGTCTCACTGGTACCGCTCCAGCGGGACTCGAACACTGAGCATTACTGACAAAGCCAAGGAACAGTGAAATCCTCTACAAAGATGGAATTTAGCGAGGCCTCCTTTGTCTTGAAAGTCGTGCTTGGGTCTATGGATGTGTAGCCTGGGGCCAAGTGTTGGTCTCTTAATTCATATGGGGACGGTTTGAGTGCCGGAACGGGAGCTAGTCTACTGACTAGCCATCAGTCCTGGGTCTTGTTTTCATTCTCCATTCTATGCCTGATTTCGGAGTCGTCCTGTTGGACATGGCCTACTAACTAGTTGCCATTCTGCATGAACAAAATGTCTGGAAACCATCGTCACGGATGCGAATTTTATAAGAAATAGGTCACTTTGAGTAAGCATAGGACAACGTCACTCCGATCCTTATCTAGTTTTCAGCAGAGATGAATAATAAACGAGCTTCCGGTTTTCCAATTTGACAAACTCATATTATGTCGTGACTCAAAATTAACCACATAAGACACGAAGACCAGCATAAGCACGCAGTCTCCTTTTGATCTATAGAAGTGGGCTTACCTTGTTTTCGCAACTTGTTCGTGTTGTCAGGGCGACTTGGTCGGACGCATCTTGTCCGAAGTCTCTGCCATAGTGGGTATCATAATTCACAGCGTCGGACAGTGGATTTGATATATTCTCAGACGTCTTGCCATTCTGAGCACCAACCTACGACTCGTCGAAGAGACAAGTAAAGTCAATCAGTTGACCAAACTTTCTGCCGAAACAGCCAGAAGTTGTGGTATTGCGGGCGTGTGATAAGAGGGTAGGGAGTCGATAGATGGGCCATGACAGAAAGGAGAGTGATAGCACAACCATTTCGGTATTGACTTCATTTGTCTTGATGCGGAGAGTGGCAGGACTCCCTGATGATGCCGACTACGAGTACCAAGTCTAAGGTCTGATGCTGGCAATTATGATATTTACTATAGCAGAGGACAAACTACGTCCAACTAAGTTGCCCTGGCAACACGACCAAGTAGCCAAGACGAGGTCAGCCCACTTGCAAACCAAATAAGGTTATTCTATATGATGCACAATACAATACACATGTCCAAGAGTGTCCATTGTTGCTATTATTTCCATTTTGAGGGAAAGTATGTGCTGAAGGAACTCGGAGATCGATCCTATTAGACCGGCTAGCGTTTGGCTCTACGGGAATCTTTCGGTTGACGTTGTCGCTCTCATTTCCGATGAATGCTGGATAAATTTTCGTATGTCAAATGTCGGATATCATCAGAACAGACTAGTATTAAAACAACTTTATTCAGACTGAGGAATCAAGAGAACTCACCACTTCATCCATACACGCTGTGTATATTTAATGTAAAGAAAGAAATATAGAGATATTTGGTTGGTCAGTATCATATACCAATCTAGAAGCATGTGCAAGTGTACATGTGCGCTCATCCCTGAGCAAAGGTACGCAATTGACGGTGTTAGCTACAAGTATTGAGAGTAGGGCGAAACTTTTGCCGTTGGTCATGACTCTTTTCGTACAACTACCATTCCACTTGTGTAATGTATGGCCAAGTTGATGTGTTTGTATGTGCATGTGTGCTAGCACTTAACAGCACAGAACGAGTGATGGTAATTGGAGACAGGAGTCGCTTCCTTGTTCCACGCATAAGTAGTTTCCAATGAACATTCTATCTGTATTCCAGACA